GTGTGTCTCATTTGGCCAGATGAGATCTGCTGCGAAAGGAAAGATGGCAATTTTGAGTTTTATTACTTTCGACAAAGTGGCCTGCGCCTCTGCAGATTGTGCGGCCGTTGTCACTGTCGCATTTACCCTCTGTTAGTACCTACCTAGCGATGCCATTTTCAGCCAAGACTGACCCTCTCTTATCTGGTTCAATGCCAGAGTACTGTTACGTACTGTACAACAAACTCCATCATTCTTCTTTTGCTCTTTCTCTTCCGTCCCAGGGTGACGGTGACGGTGGCACTATTGCTTGACACTAGACAATACGAACTCAATTACCGCTCCGTTCAATGTTGCTCACGGAGTACACACTTGGCCCTTCCGAGGACGGATGAACCGAGGTGATGAAAAGCTTATTGCTCCGTAATCTGTACTACGAGTCATCGTCGGTGTTGGTTTTTCAAGGGGGGTAGGGTGGAAGGGGATGGTTTGTTTGTTCTCTAGCGACCTTTGCGTACCTCCCACTGACCACACAATGTACTGTACTATGCTGTGTAACTGTACTGTACATAGGACCCATTAGTAGCAATCATCAGTTGGTGAAGACGGACAGGTCGGACAGGTCAATTAGAAGGGTCACATGTGTAGAACATGATACCTAGGTCACGTCGGAGGAATGAAGGACAGGTTACATGCAAACTACCAAGAATGCTGTGTTATCATCATAAAAGCCCTTCCTACGCCAAATGTCGCCGGGTCGCATTCGAGGGTCGAGTACCGGGAATACAGTCGGCAGTACATGACGGCCAAGTCACTTGCAGCCTGTCCAGGTTCAGCCCTGGTTCCCACGTTTTGCTTCCCTCAATGTATTCCCCGCCCTAGGCTTGTTTCGTTTCGTTTCCCTTCCAGCGCAAACTCAATCTCTCTTTTTGCCATCCACCGTCCTTAGCAGAACAATACTATAGTAAAACGCCATCTTGTTCATTATCAGCCCGCTTTCCAAATCTTAATTGGAAACCCAAGCCCGAGACGTTGCTGATGTTTCAACGCTCCGAGGCCGTCATCACCCCCACTTGCACATCATTGCCCAGCATCAAAGATCATCGTCATCTTCATCATCAACACAACCCCTCATCGCGCCCGTAACAAACAAGAAACACCACCCTGGGTCAGACACAAAATCTGCTTGGCTCGGGAAATCTAAAAACAATTCCCCAAGTGCTTGAGCTCTCCTCACCCTCTCGCCCGGCGAAAGTCTGAGCAATTCCCATCCCCGCAGGCGCAATCTCGCGGGCTTTTATAGAGCATCGAAACATATCTTGCTTTGCCGCCCGCGTCCCCGGAGCCGGCCAAGCCATGTCAAAGCGGCGTAGACCACCGCCCAACAACGACGACGACGTTTCATGCTTCCCGATCAAAGAACCCGTCCAGCAACCATGTGGTGGCGGCCCGCAGCGGGTTTCGCTGGAATTTTTTAAGCTTCCCAGCTCACATAACGGGCGAACTTTTCCATGTGTAGGTGTGTCTGAATTTGTTTGGTGTTTCCGATGAGGAAAACAAAACGCATGGACGTGCAGACCCGACAGTCCACCCACCCACCCACTCACTCACTCATCCCGGAACCCGTCGCCCTCAGGCTCAGCTCAGCTCAGCCCACAAGATACAGCTCAAGCGTGCAGGTTGAAGGGCGTTGATGACGAGCATCAAAAACTCTAAATCATTGCGCAGATCACCCGGATGAACAAAGATCGACACTCGGGTGGCTCATTATTCTGTTTCACACACATCGAGACCAGTAGGTGGGTATGGCCTGCTGATAGTGAGTTGGACATATACCTACACTACCTTACCTTATTCAACGTTGAAAAGGACGTATATCAAACTTGGTAAGCGCGGTAGTTGATACCTGGCCGAAACCTCGCATTGGCCCGAGGTACTTTGCGGTGTGTTTCAATTGGTACCTTTGTATCCCGTAGGTTGCCCACAACGAATGCACTTGCATAGCTCCGACCCACCCGTGCCTTGCCTTCGGATCCGAATTTGGAAGTCCAGTCTTCGGAGCCGGTGGAGATGCAGACGTCAACTCGTGCGTACTCTACCTATCATACTACTATGTGTACATGCTTTGGGGTGTGGCGTATGTCTCTTTTCAGCCACAACAAGACTTACCTTCCTCGAGCATCACAACTGAAGTCTCCTTGGCAGAACTTCGTGAAGTATGTCAGACCGCTCCTAACACCTCATCCCGGATTTATATTCGAGGGCTATTCCGGCTCGGGATGCTCTCAATTCCCGTCAATGATTATAGTCCTCGATGATTATAGCCATACATACTTGGCAGAGATAGAAGCAAATCCTATTTCGAGGCTGCCTTCTTGTCTCTCGAGTTTCTATGCATCACGTGGATGCTAGCATAGCGACGGTGTAACAGCTGCGAAATACAGCAACTTTCCAGGTTTGCGTTCGGGTCGATAACATCGAACACAACAATATTATCTGGTGTATTTTACCAAAACTACATTGGAACTGTAGTGGCTATATGGAGAGGTTACCTCGTGATGACCTCAAGGCCCCACTTCGGACTAGCGCATTCTGACGTCCAGCCACTCCTTGGGGCAACTCCCTTGTAGCTATCTAGGTATTCTGTACTTACCTAGGTATGTTTATCTTCTACAACCATACGAAAAGAGTACCGAAAAAATACACAAAGTGACTCCCTAAACAGTCTCCTCTGTACCTCAAGATACTGCCGAGCCAGAAATAGTGGGGCACGACCAAATATGGCACATCCTTGCGGCGGCACAGGCCTCGAACAAACAATACCTTTCTCCTCAGCACAAAAGAGGCAACTTCCAAAGCACAAAGCATTTTCCAAGAGTCTTCGGTCATGCAGTGTTGGTGCTCACTGCGACCCACCAAAAGCCTCCCATTAAGCTCGATAGCACGGAAGATACGCCCCTACAGTCTTCCCTCCACGTTCGCGTCCCATCATCAGGCTCAACGAGTTCACCAGGATCTCGCGCTTCGAAACGGCGCGCTTCGCTTTGCCTTTATCGAGGATGGGGAACCTACAGAGCGATATCGCCCTGGAGGATATCACCTGCTTTCTATCGGCGACGTCTTGCATCAGCGCTACCAGATCGTGCACAAACTCGGTTTCGGCTCCTATTCCACAATATGTCTCGCAAAGGACGCCCAGCAGCTAGGCAGATGTGTTGCCATAAAAATCAAGACGGCCGAGACCGACCACGACTTAAATGAGACACTGATATGGCGTCAATTGTGGACTGCTGCAAGTGATGCCCAGCAACATGCACTACCACCGCGCGGCGCTTCCGTTGCAACCCACAACATGCCTCCGATCTGGGACGAATTCACAGTCAACGGCCCCAATGGTACACATCGATGTATTGTGACGGATCCGGCCAGGATTACTGTCGCCGAAGCTCAGGAGGCTTCATATACTCGGCTACTTCAGCCAAAAGTAGCACGAGTGATTGTGGCTCAGCTCATAAAAGCCGTGGCTTTCATGCACACGAGAGGTTATGTCCACGCCGATCTACACCTTGGAAACGCCCTCCTCAGAATTCCAAAGGATATAGCTGAAATGCCTCTGGATAGCCTTTTGGAAACCTTTGGAAGCCCTGTGCTGGAACCTGTGAAGGTCATTGGCAACGAGAAGGGGCAGCCGCTCCCTGTCGGTGTTCCCTCTCACATAGTGATCCCAGCCTGGTTCGGAACAAGAAGCGAGGACATCAAGCCTCACGAGGCATCTTTGATCTTGGCCGACTTCGGTGAAGCCTTCAATCCTTTCACTGAGAAGAGGTTTCACTCGAACACCCCTTGCACCGTGCGGCCGCCAGAAGCCAGATTTGCACCGGGAAAGCCACTGTCATTCCCTGCCGATATATGGACACTGGCATGCTCCATCTGGGCTGTCCTGGGACAACGGGCGCTGTTTGACATCTTCAGCCTCACAGACGACTACGTCACAAGAGAACAGGTGGACGCACTAGGGAGGTTGCCGGAAGACTGGTGGGTACGATGGGACGGCCGGTCTCAGTATTTCGATAGCCAAGGTGACCTGTTGGACCACACGTCCCAACGGTGGAGTCTGGAAGTTCGATTTGAAGATTCGATCCAACTTCCCAGGCGAGAAAGTGGCATGGAAACGGTTGGAGACGAGGAGAAGGTTGCTCTACTTGGTATGTTGAGGGCTATGTTGGCCTTCGTTCCTGAAGAGAGGCCCACTGCTGCGAGTCTGTTGGACTGCGAGTGGATGGTCAAATGGGCTCTTCCGGATCTCTGGGAGGCTGACATACCGGGACCATAGATGATCCATTCTTGAGCAATGCAAATGGTGAGATGCTGCAAGTTCTGTTTCCAGCCTCCTTACATGCGAGGTAACTCCGGATATGAAGTCAAGTATACCATCGAGGGTTGCCTCAGATGACGACGGCGACGCACATTCTCCCTGCACGAACACCCACATACATATGGGCAGATTCATTGGATCATTGACGGTAAGAACATACCTTCCTGCCATGAGATTTCCTTCAAAGCCTCTTATATACATTTACCAACTCAATCACGCGCAGGACATCAATGTCTCGGCAAGCCACGCAAGCGACATCGTCCAAGGCCTTCTACTACGCAGCTGGCACCGGCAGACTCGTCATGAACTCAACCACCCGTCAATTACCAGTCTCAACGCAAGCACGAGCCCAATGTCACATCCAGGACCAACTCATCTTCAACCTGCCTGTCAATATGGATGGGTATCGCCATGAACTCTCCAACCAATCCGCCGCGAGGTCTTCGACCTGAGCGGCAAATTCGCCCGGGGGGTTCAAACGTTGTGAGCTACATATTGTGTGAATATGTTTTGAAAACGGCACATGCCACTTTCATGTGAGGTTTACGACGACTCGGGCAAACAACGAGACCCACACCCCAATTCCCGTCGGTGCCCACCAACATGAACTCTCATCGCGAGTCATTTTTTCATCAACCACACAACAGCGTAAATGGTTTAGTGGTAAAATCCATCGTTGCCATCCCACTTACAGTGAACAATGCCTCGATGGGCCCCCGGTTCGATTCCGGGTTTACGCATGCTATCTGTCTCTTCAAGTCTCTGATCAGAGGGAGGTTGTGGGGGACTATCACAGGTCAGATACATCTATCTGCCTGGGTGCTTTTTTTTGTGGCCGGCGGAACGACATGCAACTTGCTTTAGAGGAAATTGTGATGCTTTTATTGCTTTGTACAGTCTACTTGGTTCGGCAAACAAGTGATGTGCGAGGGGGTTCTATGCTTCTTGGATCAGGCACTGATCTAGAGACCAAGGAGACCAAATGAGGCAGGGGCCCTTCTTGCAGGAGCTTGCATACATAGGCAATGGATGATGGTCAAGTCGATGATAGAGTAAAGAGCAAGCTTGTCTTCCAAAGATCGGGCATGACTCTGAGTTTGTGAACTGGGCAGCCATTTTAGGGACAGCTTGTCGCGTCAAGCAGCAAGCTTCTGTTGGAACTTGGTCAAGAACATGGCAAGATTTGGAATCTAGACTCGACATTAGTAAAACCTATTGAATCGAGTCTATTCGAGATGATCGGTGTACTACTCATAGTGGTGCATCCCTCGAGCATAGCAAAGTTGGTGGAACACCACTGCTAACAGCTGCAGTGGTAGAGGACAGGGAAGTCGTGGGTCTTCTACCTAGGTACTGGATCGTGGAGCTGCTATTGGTCATGTTCCAAGCGCGATCAGTATTCCAGCTAGGAGATCTGCTTCGTCGTGGATAGCGCATCTCAAGGAGCAGCAATGGGAGTTTGCTCGTCATCAACCGCCTGGCAACGCCCTTCTCCACTAGAATACCTGTTCGGCGGTGATTTGTACCGGCTCACAACTATGTTTTCTGCGCCGGGTGAGTGGATAGACAGCCTTACAACTAAGAGCAATAGAAATAGAGTCACCTGACAACACACACTCCAGTTCGTACGAGTCCTTCCGGTTATGTCTTTTCTCACTCCCAAAGCGAGTCGACAGACGAAACATATGTTGATATTGTCCCATTACCTGGCTTGTTGTGTGTCACTACTCTGTGCATAGGTGCTCTACGGCCCACCATCCATATTCCAGACTCCTTTTCTGATCCTGGTCGCCATGTCCGAGTAGATGAAGACCCCGACCTGCAAGTTGGCCGCAACCGGCGCCATGAGGTCTGCGTTCTCGAAGTGAATGCCGGGGAGAACTCAGTAATCCAAGTCTTTGTGACTGATTACTTCGATTGTGAGATCTTTGCAGGCCTGTTCCAGGATCTTGGAGGGGTTGAATCACTTCTTCCTGTCTGGGAAGGCGTTGGTGGAGCTTCACCAGTGCTGCTTGCCTGATATCAACTTTACGAGCTGCTGATGGAAGATTCCGTTGCACGACAAAATAATTGACTGTATGCTAGACATCGTCGCTATACCGTGGATATGATCCCATTGTTGATTGCAGTGTCAGCACTGAGCATGCAAAAGGCCTCGACAGCCATCGGCTCACGAGAGGGTGAACAAGTGCCCAGATCAAAGAGCTGTGCTTATCATTCCACATGCTACGGCAAGGCACCTCAAGACTGGCATAATCATAACAGGCTCCATGCGCCCAAATGTCCTTGACCTGAGATACGTTAGAGCGTTGGGACTGTAAAATACTCTCAGCTGCTGATCCCAGTCGCATAACAGTCACCAGCCAGGTCGTGCTCAGCTTTTCACATGTGTTGAGACTATCCGTGACCTGGCTTCTTGGTCACGTGCTGAAATATGCAAGACAGATAGGCCAGCACACTCTCAAAGCGGGCCTCGATATTGTTCTTGGGAAGTGGCTTCCCTGTACTACTCATCGACTTGGGCGCGTACGTATGTTGGCCTAGGTCACAGATGGACGGAGAGTTTCCGAATCGACATCATGAAAGGCCCCTTACTGATAATGGCCTACTCGCTTTGGTTGTCAAAGCACACGACAGTATAACTGTCATACGTTTTCACTAGGAATACCGTTGGCTGTTCTTCGTGGCGGCCGCTCTGGGCTTTGGCCTAGATTAGCTGGCCAGCTACGGAGCACAAGTAACTCCCCTCAAGCTGGATAGCCCACGCTGAAATTGCCTCGGTGAGCTCGTCGTGGAACTCTGCTTATTGATATGAACTAGTCCTTCAGACGTTGCGGAAGCTGAGCAGTGAGCCATTCAAGGGCTATGAAACTTCGCAAACTCGCGAGCAGTGCTGAACATCGACCTCCAGAGAGACTATACAGTTTTCATGACCACTCTCCTTCGAAGAGGTCTCGGAAGCTTACATTTTGTAGTATAAGTCGATCTCGCGTACGTGATAAGGCTATATGGATATATGGCTAGCAGCCATCGAATATGCTACCCTAGGGTAGCGAGTTCCTAACCAGAGATGCTAAGTATGTTGGTTGGCATCGACCACGAGAAAATCCACGAAGTTCGAAACCCACATGCGATGACTCTGGTTTTCGCAAGCTCTACCCAGGTAGAAATTTCTCCCGCACGACACGTTACTGGTTCTCTAGGTAGTCTGTTGAGTCCTTAGCATCTGTCCACAGTCAGGTCTCATAGCCTCTCAAATTGCGCAAGAACGCGCATTAGATTGGCCTGAGTTGGATCAGTCCATACTGTGACGAGAGTTTATCAGAACCGTGAAAAGTTGATATAATATGCCCACAACATCACATGGATTTCACACACTATACCCATGGCACTGCGCAGATCTGACGTTTCTAGCTGTTTCTCACGATGGAGATCACAGCGGAAACAGACGAAAGTTTGCGGCTCGTTGAAGATCACAAGTCCTTGGACAGATTGGAGGAATTTCGGGACGGATTTGCGATATACTTTCGCTTGCGTATTGAAGGCGTTACATGTTCATGAACTGGAGGAGTCAAAAGTCAAATTGGTCTCGATGTCAAGCGCACGTGAAGAGTATGTTCTCTCCTTGACAGGTGTGATGACAGATTAGCACATCACGTTATCAAGAGCAGCCGCATGATAAAAATATATCTCGGGATAACCTTCCCTAGCGGGACACATTTTGTGATTGACATCTTATTCGTGTCTTGCCGTACAAACGATCAAAACACGCAGTGAGGGCCTTTGATAAAGCGGGCAACCCTCTTTGCAGCTAAAGTCTGGCAGTTCCCAAGGCTCCGGGTACGTGACAGTGCTATTGCAGCTCAGCTGCAATAAGTGCTGCAGTCTCCTGCATGCTCACCCTCTCTCTCTCTCTCCATTCTTAGACCACCGTTTGCACTAGGACTACAACCCTTCACGGGCACAAAAAGTCGATCAGAAAACAACCGCCCATTGGACACCACAACGACATTTATTTCATCCCATCTTACCGTCCCAATGACTTGCAGGAGTCGGCGACCACAGGGGGGGAAACAGCGATTGCCCGGGAGGCATGATCAGCACCAAACATAACGCATGAAATGGCGGTCGCCGTGTTCCGAGCGAAAAAATGCCGAAAGCCAGGTTTCGAAGGGCTCTTGCAGTCCGCCTGCAACCGCCGCGGACACAATTCTCAAACGTGCTCACTCATCTCATAACGACGAAAAAACACACCGAGGGCATCAACCAGATCGAAACGCGGCGCCCATGGGACGAAACATCCCCCCGGTGCTTGTTGAGGAACTGACTTTTGGTTATTATTTTTCCTTTGGGGAGCGAGCTTGGCTAACCCTTATTATGAAGCCAACGTATCTTTTTTCTTTCTCGGATAGGCTACCGGAATTCTGCTGCTTGTTTCTTTTTAAGATTTTTGTTTTCATGGCGCGCGAAAAGTATGAGCACACTCCGTAGGCGCGCGTGTGATGAAAGTAGACTTAGAAACCTTGAAGAGCCCGAAACACACCTCATCCCCACCAGATTGAGCCGCGTCAGAGTTGACATCAGCTAGGTAATAAGCAGACCAGGAAAACTGTGTTTTGCCATGGATTCTGCCACTGCATTGAGCCGGGGACAAATCACCAGACGAAACATTTGCAACTTCGACAGTCCCTGGGGGGGGGGGGATGGTCAGCCGAAGTCGACAATGATCGCCCTCCATACCACAACAGCACAACACTGGTGAGTGGAAACGATAACATGAGGCCAGACGAGGGGCCCTTTTCCGTGCTCGGGTTAGCCGTTACCTCGCTCGGGTTAGCCGCAGCGTCACATTTCACCGTCCAATGTGCTATAGTGATGGGAATCCACGACGACCTGGACCTGGACCTGGCTTGCTGGATGACGAGGCACGGCCGACATTTCCTCACTAACATGTCATTTTGACACCTGGCCCCCTTCCTTAACCCATTGTTTCAACAAACCACATATATAACTTTCCCACCAATGACTACAAATCAGATATTAAGACGGTGACGAGGAGAACGAAAAAAATAGAACCAACTGGAAAAAACTCATCCTATGTTGGGAACGAGGAAGTTTCTCTTCGTCGCTCTCTGCCGCGACGAGACCCCCCCGGAACTGAAACGAGGCCTGTGACAGCCTCCCGGTCTCCCTCGACGGGCGGCGTTTGAGGACCGGGGCGGGCGAATGCGATGAGCTACACTCCAGCCGCTCGCTTTCTCGATGGCAGTTTGCCAGGTTCTCACAATTTCAGAATTCTATATGCGTATTTGGAATTTTCGTCTTATCAACGAGGACACATCTTTGCTTGATTGTCGCCGAGTAAATAAACCAAAAAGGTCCTTCTAGTGTTTTTTTTATGTAAGCGGCGTATTCGTGTATACAAGAACGTCGAGACCGAAAAAGCATCTCCCCTGTATTTTGTCGACAAGGATCACCACAGTATGATCGCCAAGAGAACTGCGACCCCGGGATGCAGATAACCTTAAACACAGCTCGTCCGAAAGTGTGGAGCCCGTTCGATTGCATGACACCCTATCGGCAGCGCTGGAGCAGAATTGGCCTAGTACTCTACACTTCTTACATAGTCCCTAGCCAGCGTCTTCACTTCTTTGCCCGAGCGAGAAAGAAATAGACAGGGAAAAGAAAGAGTGTGGTCTTCTTTCCCGGGAATAAACAGGCTTTGATGTGTATAGTTTCT